ATATATATATATATATCTATATATATATATATATAAATAAAGAAAAAAAGCTTTTTTTAAATCGTTCTAACTGTAAATGATACAACGAAGTTTTAAAGGAGTGCGCTTGGAGATTTTTTTGAGGAAAGTGTCGTGTGCCGTACGAATGATAAGATTACGGAAGAAGATAAGTTGGCGAAGAGATAAAACGTTCTTTGTACATTGGACTTATAATTAGGAAGAATTTTAAATAGCGCGATGAAATCTTACCGAGATCTCGAAAAAAAATATGATAACGTTGCATTTGCAATATAATTAAAACTGCAATAAGCCACCTCTGTATAATATAATATAAATCAACAAATAGTAATCAATACAATTAATATAATTAACGTATTACTTCTCGAAAGTTATTATTCACCGGATCGTAATAAAGCCAGTGGCTTTCTTAATGCGCGACTGTCGTATGCATATAATAGGGAAACATACGGGGTTGTGCAACATCTTATAACTGCTGCGCCATTAACGACACCACGATCATTGTAATATACGTTTAGTTTAGTTTAGCACATGAGGGTGGTTGCGAACGAACGTGCGATCGACCCTTCGCGTGCCAGCCGAGGGTGCATAATTTATCGCCACATCCCGACCACTGCAATGCAATACGTTACACGCTTGGCATGCATGTGGACTTCGCATAGGTTATCGATGCTCCCTCAATGTCCGAGGGGTAACTAACTACCTATAAATAGCACGATCATGTATCGGCATTCATTGCCCAACATCTTCCCATTTCGACTGATGTCTTCTATTATATATTTCGTAATATGACAACACGAAGAGTGATACGAAGGTATCACTATATTTTCACTTTGGTTTATATTCGATTTTCACACCTCTGCTTTTATATTTTATATTCGAATATAATTATTTTTATCTAAATAAGGATGGTACAACTTTTACTCTTTCGCAACCGTTTGAAGATAATTTATTTCTATATTTTCTTATGTATTGTTCTTCATGGAAACTGAAAATTATCATAATAGTGATGCTTCTCAAGGAAAAAATAGTACATTTGAAATAAAGAATAAAATTTACATTGTTATTAAAATTGCTGTCAGTTATACTTCAATCATTTTAAAACTAATTTAGAATGGATTAACAAGGAACAGTTAGTAGATACATTTTGTGTGTGTGTTGTGTGTGTGTGTGTGTGTGTGTGAAATAAAATTAATAAAATCTTATTCACATTGTTACGAAATCGTTATCTCAATTATGCTTCAATCATTTGTTGAGCCAACTCTGAATACTTAGTTTTTAAATGTTTAAAGCATAACTGAGACAGCGATTTCGTAACAGCGTGAATAAGAATTTTTTTTCCTTCAATGTACCAATTTTTCCTTGAATACAATGTCATTATTATAATAATTTTTAGTTTCTATGAAGAAAAATAACATAAGAAAAAGATGTAGAAATAAAGCGATCTTCGAACAGTCACAAAAAAAGTTATACCCTCTTTTAGAGATTCATTAATCTTTGGAAGACGAGAGTCTATTTTTAAAATTTTACAGTTTTTCTTGATTTATTATAATTCATATTACTCTTGTATTTTTTGTCTCAAAATATGATATTGTTTCATTATAGTGGCTTTTGTAAAGTTTAAATATAAAAGAGGCCAATCTTAAAACCACTAGATCATAAAACAAATTAGTACGAAATAAAAATTGTAATCTTATCGGCGAACTCTCGCACGGGTAGGGGATATAGTTCCGAGTCGTTGCTTTAGAATAGAATTGGTTTTTATTGTGACTAGATTACAAACGGGGCCTTTTACGGCGCTCAATATCGCCCAGTAGGAACGTTTACACGTAGCGAGTGAGGTGACAAACGGGAATGAAGAACATTCTGCGTGACGTTACGAATCACTCACCGCAGGGACTGGGATATGTAATTACGACGAACATTTGTACGACATTGGGATTCATACAAAATAGCAGTCGTTTCTTACGCCTATCTTACGTGACTATACCTCGAGCTTTATAGCGATCGGCCGCTCGCATGTCGACTTTTCCGAAGCCGATCGATTCGCGCCGTGTCTCGTCGTCGTTTCATCCCGTCAAAATCTCCCGACGCACCACCACACTCCCCCGTTATGTGTAATAATTTATACAATTATCTCTGTGGCTTCAACGCGCGGCATAATTACTATACATACGTGATATTTTTTGGGTTTAACTTTGGTTTTGTTGCCTCACAACGCGTGATCTATCAAATAATAAGCTACTTATAAAAATAGGACATTTTCGTTGATTACGTTAACGCCTCTCTACACAATCTTACACAATCAAGGATATATACGTATAAGTTAAACACTGTCGTTGGAACGATGAGAGTACGAAGAGGAAGAGGAATCGACGGACTTGAAAAATCCAATTGCACGCGCCGCGCGAGGATACTGTGAATATTGTTTTAAGTAATTATTCGACAATACTATAATTCAGATTTATAACGTACGCCTAATCGATAGGATGCTCCTTGCTCCATACACTGTACAACGCACAATCCGCTTACTTACAGCCTATAATATTTTAGTATTCTGCTGAATAATCGTTATTATCGTCATTACAATGTAACAATTTTTTGGTATACAGTTACGCTCGGCATAAAGAGCCAGCGTTCTACTATACATATATCTACAAAATAGTGAGTACGTGATCCGCGAGAGATCTTTGTTAGCGCCGTTGTTCTTAAAAATTAATCCCCGTCCCTCACATTTTACATATGAAAAAAATTATTAAAGCATGCAGCATACAATCAGCATTAGTTTACGCTATATGATTCTTTTAGAGAAAGCTTTTTCTCGTTTTTTTTTTTCATAATTATACTACAGCGTAATTTTGTTGCTTTATCGCAATGTATTTTTATCGTGTATAATATCGTATTCGAATAATAAATATATCGTGTTTAATTAAAAATATTAAAATGAAAATAAGGAAGGGGGATTAAATATACTTTTTATCGCGGCGAAAGTTTAACATTTGTACTCCATTAACTTTTATCTGTCTTGAGGAATATGTGAGTTCATCGACTAGTCGAACTTGTAGTTTGCCAATTGCATCCAACGTAGCCGATTACTCGCATAATACTTGTATTTACAACGTAGTCAAATATTTGCAATTGTATGTTCTGTCAATTCTTCTATCGTGATAGACTGATTCTTTACCCTTTTGCTTTACCCTCAAGTTTTACGAAGATCTCGAAATTGAAGATTATTAGCTGTCAGAGAAATTTAAGATTCGCAAATAAAATATTTCTATAATAATTCTATGACGAAATTTGCATCGCATCGTTCAATTTCAATCAGTCAAGTATTAATTAATACATAAGTATTAAAGTAATTCAATAAATGACTTCGCATTCGATACTTATGAATATACTTATAAAGGCATGTGAAGAAGTCATTACTATATATTTTTAATTAACTACAATGAAATCGTTTTTGCGTTTTTCGGCGGAAATATAAATGTGATATCTCTGAATCATTTTCGTTTAAATCAAACATTCAATGTTTAATGAAACAAAACGAGATTTCGCGACAAATTGGGAGAAGCTGGACAGCGCCAACGCATGAATAGTCGATAAAATTCTACTGGCCTCAATCGTCATCCCGCGGCAAAGACAGCGTCTGTGAACCGGATGCGATCGGTGGCGTCGTCCAACAATCGAACAACGATGGCCAGTAGCCGGTGGCGGTAGTCGCGTGTTGCCAGTAACCAGTCAATCCGGTACCAGTCCCAGTGGCCGTACCTGGTCCCCCTACACCGACTCCCACGCCAATACCACCGGCAGTAGCTGCTACCACTTGTTCGGGATTCACCATGCTACTCGCCTCGATAACACCTCGCTCGTCCACTTCCATCTTTTGGTCCGCCGCAGTCCCGTCCTCATCATACATAAGATAATGCGGATGCGAGGTCGTCGACGAGGGCGTCGACGATAGCGTCGGCGAGGCGGCGGACCTAGGCCTGGGTCACTCTTGCGACCTGAGCTGATTGTCGCTCGGCTGACCTGCAGCGGTCGCAGCAGTGGCGGACGGAGGCACCACTTGATTACTGCCACCGCTGAGGGAACTTCCAGAATTTGGATTCGTTACGCTGTGATGATGGGGGCTAGACGTAGCCCCCGCTTCGCCTCAGACCTGGGCCCTGGCAGTGGCGTTAGCGTGCGCCTCGGGACCGCCTGGGGAATGAGGGTTTGCTCCGGCCGTTGTTGTTAACGCGTACTGACAAGCGCTCAAACCGCCGCCACCACCACCGCCACCGCCGACGGAAGACGCTCTCGAACTTACGGGACTTATACTTCCGGCTGTGGTACCGCCTGTAGTACCGCCTGCGAATGAGCCGCCACCACCGCCGCCATAACCACTGCTATGCTGTTTCGCCTTCATTCGTAGCGACGCAATGCTACTCGATGTCATCACTGTACAGGATTCGGGCGATCGATGGTGAGGCGTATAAACCGGTGGTCCATATGGATGATGCGGTGCCGCCGGCGCCGCGTACGGACACGCCGCGCCGGACGCGGCGACCGGCGAGCTCGCGACACCGAGACCAGAACCCATACCCGGTAACATGGATGTGGCCGCTTGACCGACCGAAACTGACATGCCACCCACGTGGCTGCCTGCGACCGACGTCGCTGCGGCGTTAAAGGGATTCACTGGGCTGACCTGAGCGTGATGATGATGATGCGATGCCGCAGGCACAACTGAGCCCAGAGTGTTCATCCAGGGAAAGCTCTTGCCGCTCAACGGCGATGGTACTTTAGCCGCCCAGTTGTTGTACGTGCTATACGAGCTGTAGAGAGTGTCGGGATCTGGGAACGGTTGAGTGATGAAGCCGTTCAGACTGGCTGTACTGAAGCCCGACTTGAAATCCGCTGCGGCCTGCGCGGCGGCGTTCATCGCGTTACGCTCCTTCTTTCGCCATTTCGCCCGCCTGTTCTTGAACCAGACCTGCAAACAGAAAAACAAAACGTTGCAAGAAAAATGTGTCTGTTAATTATAATGTGTAGAATGTTATTTGAGAAAGGATCTCGCAATTATAAGGAAATTTGTGTTCCGGTAAAATGATCCAGTTAATTTTCATATATAATGTAGTTTATAGTGTGATGAAGAAAAGATGTAGACACAAGGCTTAATAATGGATGATTTTTGAATTATGGTGCATTAAAGATGTGAACACCTCAGTGAACACAATTGATTTATATCTTTAATGTACCATAGTTCAAAAATTATTCATTATTGAACCTTATGTCTATAACATCTTTTGTTTCTTGTAAGTTACATTATACAATATATGAAAACTAATTTATTTCATCGGGACCTAATTTTTCATATAATTAGTGCAGGGCTTCTTTAATAGAGAGATATCGATTATATTTTTCGATATTTCCTTTCTATTTTTAGCATAACCAATATTTTAAAGAGATAATTTTTTTCATGATGTACAGATGCTACCCTCCGTTCCCAGATTTTGTTTTTAACATGTACAGCTCATACATTGAGAATAAACGGAGAAGAAAACGGAGGGAAGGCACAGCATGCGTTCCGTTTTCTTGCCAGATTTCGTGAATGTTCGCATGCCACGGGTTATTAGTCACGAACGCAACGAAGAGAACAACGAGCGGCGGTTCCGTTCCGTGGTAGACGGTAAGCGAGTCTTGAGACAAATAGCAAGAAAACCCCGGCGAGCTTCTCCATCCTGAAATATGACGGCGTTAATTCAAGGCGGCCCTTCTCTCACGCTCGATACTACGGTGAACGTCGTCAGCCGTTTCCACCCTCCTTATCCCTTCGCTCGCCCTTCAACCTCGAACCTACCAGCGTCCTCCGACTCTCTTCAGTGCCTCTCTTTCTTAACGACGCTCGTCCCGTCGCATCGTCGTCCCTACTCGCCCCCAACAATTATACGGGTGGTTGCGCTTAGATACCCGTCGCTCTCGCGTAACTGTAAGGCAAGGGGAAGGAAAACGCGACATACGCGAAGGGTCGTGGTGTAAGTATTCGATGAAGAGAGAGTTGAGTAGCTGGTAGAGAGAAGGAGCAAGATAGGAAGAAAAGGGGGAAAGATACTGAGGGTGAAGCAAGTCGACGGAATACTCTGTAAGATGGATGGCCTTACGATCACGCCGTGGAAACGCTAAGAGGCGCGACGGGTCATTGAAAGTGGGGGCGGAAGACTAGCTAATGAAGAATAATGTCCTTTCCTCTCAACGATTATTCTTGGAACTTCATTGTAACAGCCCGAATTTGCTAGTAACCTTCATTGTATAACCTAACGGAATAATCGAGACAATAATGGTGGATAGATGTGTAAAAGAAAATTGGAATTTTAACCCTAACTGGTGTTCGCGGGTTCAATGTACTTTAAATTAATGTATCTTTGCTTAAAGTTAACATAATTGAATAATTTTTTTCATTTAATGAAGGTCAAATTAAATCCGAGGAATATAAGATTATGTAAAATAAACCTGCGTAAAATTGTGAAAAATATTTATCATAAACAATTTTTCACAATGTAATTGACAAAAATGTTCGAGGCCTACGAATCGATTAACATAAAAGCTCACTAATTCACACGCATAGCTTTGCATCAATTTTCTTTAAAAAATAATACTTATCGTTATATTTCTGTGACCATTTATAACAGTATTTATACGAAATTAATACGATGTTATTGGTTTTTGTTAATAAAAAACGACTTACCTTTGATCCACCCTGGGAGATATACGTAGGTGCGAATTTTTTTCGCATCGGTAAGCCGCATGAGAAACATCATTGGATTTTACGAAGCGGCCCGGTAGCCGCGGCACTATGGGCGACGACGGTAAGCCAGGAGGGAGTAAATTCGATAGGACAGAATGGTACGGCGGGCGAAAGATGCCGCGACTCGAGAATCAATAAACTCTCTCGCGCAAAGGCGCAGCGTGTACACACAAGATGCCGCGCCCATAAAGTTTAACAGCGTCGCGGAATCTTGACTGAAGCTATCTGCAATGACCCAGGAGAATCTTAACGCTTTTGATTCGTAAATCCATCGACGAACGTACATACATATGCTCGAACTCGAGTGAAAGCTATCGCTTGACCAACTGGATTCAACTATATATTGATCAAATGATCTGTGAATCGTGAGAGAAATCGCGCTTGAAACATAAATATACCAACGGGCACATCGCGCATTCCGATAATAATTTATGATATAATTAATTAGTATATTATGTTAATCTCATTAATAGCTATTTCCAATCCAATTTGACGAATATTCACAAAATACTGACGTATCAAGCTACGATACATAAAATCTGTGTTCACACAAAATTGCATGTTTACTGTAGTTGTGTAATTTTTAATAAGTTAATAAATTTAAAACTCCATCAAATCGATTCTCATACGGTAACGTCGAAAACATCGATATTGTAGGCAGTAACCCAGTTGATGCGATAAATCGAATCCATTGTTTTTCGTCTGGCGACTGACTCGGAGAACAATGGTCGCGTCACATCATTCGAGCAATAAAATCTCATCAAATCACGACCCCTCGCCACCGTGTAAGCCTCCATTCGGTCTCTTTCTTCTTCTCGCTCACGCACGCGTTCGGCTCAATCTACGAAAGCTTATATAAATGTAATGAGACCGTGACCGGGGATGCCTCATCAATCACACCCCCATACGGCCCCCTCTGTTCTGTCGCATTTCATCGTCGGCGTCGCTCTTTCCTATGGTCGTCTTCCGCGCCGCACATACGTCTACCGAGTCTACGTAGACACCCTCGTGCTACATAGACATCCTCGAATACCGCACCGGCCCGTCCGCGGTAATCCCGTGACTTAACATCGGGCTCTCCGGGTTCTCCGGGTAACCGCGATTTGTTCCATTGCGCTCAGAAGTTGCGCGCCACGTCGCGCTGTTAGTTCCTCGGTCAAGAGAGTCTTACAACCGAGTCTTACCGAAGCCCGGCTCTTGAGTAAGGCCTATCTAAGTGGAACAGTTTTCAGACGATATTCTACCGAACTGGGACATCGTTTTATTGCATCAATTTACTACACTGTTTATAAATATGCCCACAATGAATTTATAATTAAATCAAATCAAAATTTGAAATTGCTATTTTGTTGATAAAATTAACTTAAAATATCTATTGTCCATTTTCGACTACAAGTTTGCGAAATAATGTATATTTATATAAAATAAATATAAAATAAATATAAAATTTAAAATCGTTACTATCTGCCTCTTTTAAATTTTGCAAAACATTTTTGGTAAATAAATCAGTAATTTGAAAATAGGTTTTATGTAAACATCATATATTTTAGAATAAAAATTATAACGAATAGCGATTATTAGAGTTGAAAGCAAGTTATCGCATTTGCATTATTCGCAAAATCTATATGCGAATAAATCAAAATCTATATGCGAATAAATTTGTATTGTTAAGTCTTATCGATGACTTGGTTACATTTAAGTACAAATTAAGTAGATATAAAAGCCTGATATTCTTTCACTTCATATTGGCACAAAATAGAGTTTTTTTTTTGTTATAAAATGTAAGAAACTTTAAAGCACTGTTGCGACATGTAAACACCAAAAATTTAATCTGCCGATATAGCTTACGTTTTTTTTTTTACGTTTTTGTGCGTCTAGGTTAACGATCTCGTTCATTTCGTGCGAAACGTTCGCGTGAATTCGTGCGAGTTCGCGTCCTTTACAAGATGAAAGAGGAAGGAAAGAGAAACCGAAGGACGAGCTAAAGGAGGAGGCTGTGAGAGACGGTAGGGAGAGAACCTGACATTCTCTCTCGTAGGGTGGAGATGGTGATGGTGGTCGCACTAGAGGGGAACTTCGAGGGGGAGTTTGAGAGAAGGTTAGTCGTGGGTGTAGAGAGACAGGGAGAGACAGAGAGAGAGAGAGAGAGAGAGAGAGAGAGAGAGAGAGAGAGAGAGAGAGAGAGAGAGAGAGAGAGAGCATGGACGAGGAAACGGAGGTGGAGGAGGATAATATTGATCCCCTCGTAGCCCCGCCCCTCCTCGCCCAACCGACGCCATCATTATATTATCCACCATCCCTCCGATTCCGTTTCCCGACGTATCGTACACCTACGACCTCTCGAAACTCGCAAAACTATCCTGGTCGTGCACGCGCGTTGTCTTGTATTCCTCGAGAGGGACTTTCCAAAAAAAAGAGAAAGGCACGGAGCTATTCTTACATTCACCGTTGTATTTTTTGCCTATCCTGTTTCTTAACTTTCTTTCTGCTACCCTTATTTCGCTCTTCTTCTCACGTCGAAAGGATAGAGACAGAGAATAATTCGAGGAGGAGCGTTGCCGTGGCCACGAAGGATCGTGGTAGGTTTCCCGAAAATCTTGCGAGGACCAGCGCGCGCCACTTCATTAAAAATAAATTCCGTGAAGGAGCCGACGGATATCCGAGGGCTTCGCGAGGATTTCACGCCGCAGACTCGCTTCCTCATTCTCCCTCCCTCTATCTCTTTCTCTCTATATCTCGTTCCTTTCGCCTATCCATAATTCGATGCGCCTTTCGTTTGTCTCATGAAACGTTACCTCAATGTTCCTCATATTTCTTTCCTCTCTTCTTTTATTGCACCGTGAATTAGTTTTAACCTGTGCTTATCTCTTTTATGTTTTTAGCAGAATTTTTTATTACAAGAATTTTCGGCTTTTCAAATTAATTTAATTTAATTTAATTCAATTTAATTTAATTTATTGCAAAGCTATATGAAAAAGACATGTTGATGGAGTAATAGACATAAAGTATGATATAGTTAATATAATACAATAGACAATAGTAGCTTGCAAATGGTTAGGCGTAGGTTCAGCAAAATTGCTGTTAAAAAGCCTATCAGTAACAAAATTAGAATAAGATAATAATAAGAGATAAACTAATAGCTGAAAA